GACATTAAGTACTTCAGTATGAACAGCATATGAAGCAATGCTTTGAGTTTATGAAGGAGAAGAACATATTTGTGTCTGTACAGGAAGAACCAGAAAGAACAGAGAGAAATATCACGAGCAGAATAAAGAGGGAGAAAATCGCTGACTATCTATGCAAAGATTTGCAAAAAATTGATGTGCTTTTACTAAGACTTTTTAAAGCTGTTTCATAAAGCCACCCAGCCATCCATAGACGTTAATCCTTGCAGAGTTATGGGTGGGGTCTCTGCAGAGTTATGGGTGGGGTCTCTGGGTACACCCTGGACAGATCACCAGTTCATCGCAGAGCAACACAGACACACACAGAACAAACAACCTTAATGGATCACAGAAAATGTCTGTCAAAACATCCAGAAAAATCATCATTGAGCGAGTTAAATGGAGCAGAGTGACAATGCTACAAAAAAAGACAGTCACAGGAAAATGTAATCTTTAAAGATCTTTCTTAACAAATTGCATTTTAATCCCAATACATTCAGGTTGTTTTTCTTTAAACTGTTGAAATTGCATGCCACATTTAGATGCTTCAAATTAATCTACTTACATATACAAAATAAAAATGGAACATGGGGAGAAATTAAACTCATTTTGTACAGCACCGTAAGTCAGACTTGCAGTCCGGCACATTCCTCGTTGGTTATTTTTGTAAGTTCTCTCAGGATCGCCCTGTTCAAAGTTTGTGAGGATGTCCATCCCTGGGAAGTTTGGAAGCATCTTAGAAGTTAACCACTTTTTTTTCTCAATCTAGTACAATGCAATTGAAATAGTTTAAAAATATGCTTAAAGTCCCTGTTTTTTTGGGAGGATTTTTTCTTTCTCTTCTGCGACCGAGCATGCATTACTGAGAGTAGTGGTGTCCATTGAGGACAACCCAAACTGTATGGAAGAAATGAAAACAGCTCATTCTCACGCTGCCGTCCAAACCGTAAAACGTTTCCAAATTCAAATCCGGATCACAACAGCAAATCCCAACAGTAAGAGCAGCTATTTATGCAGAAAACTACATGCTCATCTGTGTCCACTTACTGCTTGCATTATAATGAGTTGTAGCTGAAGAAGAGAGAAATAATGGATTGTCAGTGATGAAACGTGTCCTCGAGCTATTTTGTTCAAAATGGAGATGAGAGAACTGTGGTGAGGCTGGAAATCCTGAGGAAGAAGTAAATAATCTCCTTTATTACACACAGCTCTGCTACATTTTGGCTTCAGGTCCCAAGCTTTTAATGGCCAGGGATAAATACACAGGCGAACACGCACACACCAGCACTCAAACACTCTCTTTAGTGGTGAAATGAGCAGCACCACAGTGAAATAGCACCCTGATGTAACCAGATCGTTTTCTCCATGTGCTCTGAAATCTAGTTTGCTTTCCATCGATGTAGGAACTCATAAGCATATATCCTCTTTATACCACTGGAGAATTGGTCTGTCAGACAATAAAGCGTGTCTTCCAAGGTCCATGTACATTGTTTTCTTTGGGTAATCTCCCATAACACTTCTTTTGGTGTTGATATTCTTTATTTTGGGGCTTTTTTTCAGTTTTTTTTACAGATATTGCAGCTTTGTCAATCAACCACCTCTTATCTTCTCTCCTGTTCTCCATCTTTATTCTTCTTTCTACTACAACAAGAAAAAGCAATCAATCGCCTAGCAACAAAGATACTTATCCCAGTTCCTCTCACACCTGGTTAGAGACTGATGCTGAGGTCATCAGTAGATACAGAGTTTTCATTCATTTTCTTTTAATCTTACTTGATGGGCTCATTTTTCCCTCTCTCAGCTTTGTCCTTCAGCCGGTTTTATCTGTCTTAATATATTTATTTCATCCGGTCCTTTTCCAGGCACACTAATCTGTGTCTTTAGGAGTGTGCATATTTCTTTATTCGCCCTCACTCTCTGTCATTTAATTCATCAATTTATTTCTATTGCTGTGTGCTTAAAGGAAATTGGTTTCCAGGGAATGTTTCTGGATCCATTTAAGCCAAGTAGATATGAAGGAAGTATTTTCTTTGACTTTACTGTCACTGAAGAGCCAAAAGATAGATGTGTGCACCCTGGCTTGAGACAAAGTTATGCATTTTTTGTGTTGTACTACACTGTGTGCATAATTATTATTGTATGTTAATTATTGAGGATTATCTTTGCTGAATCACCAACTACATTGTGGTTTATCCCAAATGTTAGTAAACCCCAAACATGAATGATTAAGAAGATAAGAGGGAGTTTTGGGCTTTCTTAAGAGAATATCAATATGTGTAGTTATTGGTCAGCTATTGTTCTGCAGAGTTATTACACAACTAAATGAAAAACACACATTTTCCCTTTTCACTTTTATATTTTCATTTGTTTAAGTGAAACGAATAGCTCAATGGTTGCCCATAAACATGTCTGACATTTCTTTTAAAAATGGTGATCAACATAGCCACCATAACTGTGATCAGTCTTCCAGTCATGGAATCTATCAATTTCTTAATCAGTTTGATTATCAATGTTTTGTGCAGCAGTAACCACAGCCAGTTTAGTTTGTTTTCCGTCACTGAAAATCCTGTTTAAGAACTGTCCACATGTTCTCAATCCAGTTCTGATCAGAGGAGGAAGGGTCTCTTTACTGGCTACTTAGGTAGTACTTGAATGCTTGTGATGAAGCGTTGTCCTCCATTAACATTATTGTCTTTTTGGGAGAGACAAGAAACTTCCTCCTGCATCACTGCTTAAATAAAGTCTTCCTGTCTAACAACTGGAAAAATTAGTTGATTTTGAGCCCATCTTTACAACGTTCCAACCGACTCATCTTCAATATTATCTGGTCCATACCAGTACCCCACCTCCACCTTCCTGGTGTCTGAAAATTGAGCTCTCTAGCTGTTATTGATCCAGCCACAGCAAGAGTATCTTATTTCATTGACAAAACCCTTAAAAAATCTGTCTTCAGACAATTCTTGGACCCGTTTAGACGCTTCAACTTGTAAGTCTTGTTCAGTGGTGGTCGGGTTTCAGCCTCTCTGACCCTGACAATGTTTCTGGGACCTGAACGTTGTTTTACTTCTTGATGCTCCAGGAAGGTTGCAGTTATGGAATATGACTGAACAGGGTGATAATGGATTCCTGGTGACTTCACACCTGAGTCTTCTGAAATCGTTGATGGTTAATTTGCAGCTTTCTTTGCTCAGCACATTTTTTTGCAGCCCCGTTGAGTATGTGCAGCAAATTGTCTGATGGTTTTATGATCGAGCCTCAATGTCATTACAGTCCTTCTAAAAGACTTTTTGACTTCAGAGTCAGTTAAATATATATATTTGACAATAAAATAATCTGCCTAATAATTATGCACACCTTGATGTTGACCTCATCAGGCCCACTTTCTAATTACACAGCTACACATTACCTGCTCTGCTTAAATCCATTAAGCATGTCGAGCTTGAAGTAAAGATATGTGAATAAAAATATGGTCATAAAAAGTGTGCACGCATTGTAGAACATAAAATCCAAAACAAAAATACACTGGATTTTGTGGTAGTACCCTTGAGGGAGTCTTTATAACTTCATGGCCTCCATTAGTTTGTTTGTTTTGGACTTTGTGCTTTGATCCAAATCAAGCCCTGAAGGGACACTACAAAGAAAAAAAACAGCAATAATGAAAATCTTCAAACACATCTTTAAAACAAAGTGAGAATTGTTGAGTTGCCATTAAGGTTTTCATGGTACGTTATGCTGTATTGGTAAACAGGGAGCGTTTTTCTACCATACCACACAGGCACTGACATGTATGCTGTTGCAGTTGAAAAGTAGTAATTACGACTTTACCGTGTAATTAGTGGGTGAAGTACAGCAGAATGGTTACTGCAGAATACTTTACTGAATGTTATTTTAACATACCACAAACGTAAGAAAACATCACCAATACAAATGATGCTAAGGCAAGCAGAAAATGGGCTCTGAAGCACGTCAGCATTTGTCTCAATAACAATTATTTTATGTCATTTTAAATAGTTATGATTCTTTTTGGATTGAACTGCAGTTTCATTCTTGTTATCTGATTCTATTTTGTACACAGTTTAGTTGTTGTATGTAACCTGTTTCAGTGTTATTTAGAATTAGTCTAACCTTAAAGTAGCGAGGGTCTCATCTCTGCTGTTTCTGCTTTTGATGAAACAACCCGCATAGGCGTTTTTACGTCCACGCTAAAATAAATCATTTGAGGACTCGTGTTTTGATACGTCGAATCCATCATGTTGGTTTTTATTTATGCACATCATGATACCGATTCCGTCGACTCTCACTTGCAGTCAGCAAATACCACATTCTGTAAAGTAGTTTTTCCCCCTTTCCTCATATCTAGGATATTGCAGCGTGCACATAATTTTTGGTGAAGGATTTGTTTTAGTGAGCAGTGCTCCTGCATGCTCACACGTAGGTGCATGCGCATTAAGCAACCTGCCGTATAAATGTCAGCTCCAAATCCTCTGCAGGTGAAGCCGAGGCTCATAGTCAGGATGCAGAGATTTGCATTTCACAACATTCCTCACAGGCACACAAATACACTTAAAAAGCCGGTGTGGCAGCTTCGGATGCCACCGTTGTTTATATGCATGTGCTTGTGTCCATGTAGTCACGCCCCACTGTGTAAATCAATATTGCAAATAAATCTTGTCTGTGATGTAGGTTTCAGAGCCAACTACATTATCTGTGAGTTCATCATTCAAACAGCTGGGGTGACAGAGAAGGAGTGACTCAGTGAAAACGTCTTAAAATATGCATGTTGTTTAACAGATGATTTATTCATGAGGGGTCTGTGTTTGCCATTAAATGTAGGCTGCTGCTAAGTCACTGATGTTGATTCACAGAGGGGGGAAAAGTACACAGTTTGGAATGCAATGCAATAGATTCTCTTTGTGTTTAATCGATATTGGACCAGAGTTCTGGGTTGAGTTAGAACATTTCTGTGTCTGTCTTGCTTCCAGATTTTGATCCTAACCTTGGCATGATGGCTGGAATCACCCCCATAAACCCCATGATGCCCGGCCTCGGCATGGTGCCCTCACCCGTCTCCCAGGACGTTCCAGTCGTGAAGGAGATCATCCACTGCAAGAGCTGCACCCTTTTTCCCCCCAACCCTAGTAAGTCACAATACCAAACTAATCCTACTTTAGGCCGTTTCCACATGTGAAGCGTTAAACACACTAAGACACTGCGGGGCAGCAGCCAAAAGGAAGAAGAAAAGGGATCTTTATGAGGTCATCCTCTGTTGACAAAGGCAGAATAAATTGAGAGAAACATGAGAGGCTTGTATTATCTAACAGTTTTTGTAATATGAAAAATTTGGTGTTCATTTCCTTTTGCTTTTTAGACTCAACGTTTGCCATGAAATTGTTGGAACTTTACTTCAAGATCAGAGCAGGTCTAATCTTGGTTCTGCACATTATCACAATGAGTTTTACATAAAACAACACAGATGGATGAAGCTCAGATTTCCAGCTTTAATTCAGAGGAGGAACAAAAACATTGCATAAAAATGTGAGGAACTAACACATTTTTTTATTTTTTATTTTCAGGGCCTCAAAAGCAATTGAATGATTTAAAAACTGAAAACACACAATGTTCATTCAGAATACATGGTTGAAAAGCCTTTGCTCATAGACATCTCTAGATGTTGGGTTTCCTCATTTTTAAAGCTCCATCAGGCCTTTGCTGTTTGTGGGCCTTTCTGTCCGAAGTTTAATCCTCAATAAGTGAAATTCCCAGTTGGAATCATGTCGGGTTTCTTACCCGGTCATTCAAGGATTTTCCACTTTCGTAATCTCCTGATTACTTTGACATACAGTGGTTTTGGATCATTGGATCATTAATATAATCTTATCAAATTGACTCTATTTAGTTGGATCTAAGCAGACTGCATGTCTGTGGCTATCTTCCAACCAACTAAATGACAGTATGTAGCAACATGTGGGGGAGGGGTATCACTGCTTTGCATATTTCACCCGCTACCTGACTGAATTACAGAACTTTTTCAGCGGATTGAAAACTTTAACTTTTTGAAGTTTTATGCATAAAAGATCCGTCTCTGAATTTTACAATAAAAGAAGATCAAATTTTTTCTTTGCTAATCATATAAAGAGACACATTGTGGAAATTTTTTAGGTCAGAGTGCCTGAATACAATTTGTTTAGAGATGTGTGACTTAGTCTGTCATTTATGAGTGATTGTTGGCACCTTTTGCTTTTGAATTTTATTGTCTTGCCAACAAACGTGTATTTTTTTAAAGTAAATATCTAAATCTTGGAGTGTTTTCATTTTTGCACAGACAGAATATTAGTTCTATATCTCTAGCTTGTATTTTCACTTCAATAAGCCCTTTGAAGCATATACAACAGCCAAAACAAGTTAATTAAAATTTTACTTCAGCTGCAAATATTTTTTCTTATTCACCTCTCAAGAGTAGGAAGAGAAATGAACAGTTTCAGGAGAACTTGCAGACCCTAAGGTTAAATAAAGGATCAGCTTGCCTAGAAAATCCCCAGAACTTTAAGTCCTGTCACAATCAATCTCTTAAACAAGTGAAACTTTTTTCCCATGTTGCTGCTGCCGTGACACGCATACATGAGTGGAAAAGTCAATGAGATTTCTCAATTTGTTTTAGACTTATCTTGATGTCATTGACTTTTTTTAGCGTATATCTTTTTGCTGTGGGGTTCAATCTTTAGTCCAGCTTTCCTTTCCCACCTTTTGTTTTTCCGCCATCATTTTATCTTTCCACTCCTCTGTTTCTTTTTGTCCAACCTGCTCTTTGTTCCTTGTTTTGATCCCCATCTCTGCATAAGATCCTTGGTCTTGCCTTCTTTTCCTTTTAAAAAAGAAACGGCTAATCTTAAGGCCCAGTATTTTCATCAGCCGGGCAAAACCGCCTGAACTTGATTCCCCTCATGAAAATCTACTAACTCAACAGGCAGACACCCGGCATGTGAGACACCCAGAGGGAACCGCCTTCTATTACGATGGTGGTGGATTGATAGTGCAGCCCTGCAACCCTCGGAGACGTGCTGCCAGCGTCTGCAGAACCTCATGGTGTCTCTTCGAACAAATTAGTCTTGAAAAGGGCCAGGAGAAAAGCAGCTCATGTGTTGGTCTGTAATACTCACATCCATAAGTAGATAGAATAGGTTTTTTCAGCATGCAGACATCACAATCACCAACCAATTAAGATTGGTGTAACAAAATAAATACTTCTGATAAATATCACTACCATAGAAAGGCATCCCAATCAGCATACTTTGAGAACCGATATGATGCAGGTAACCCAAAGACTTGTCTTTAATTTATGGCCACAGTAGTATTTCTGTTGATACCTCAGTTGATCATTTGTCCTTGAATCATTTCAACAGTAAAAATTAGATATAAAGAAATAAGAGTGCAACACCTTATGTTAGAAATCCCCGACATGAAAACCTAATTAGTCAAGCTTTTGTCTTTTTTAAATTAAAGGAGTACAGAATTGAGCATCTTTAGTGGATGTCTCGAAATGAAGGTATTTTCTCTGAAAAAGTCAACAAATGCATTTGTTTAGCTTAGAATTTTGTTTTGGCAGGATTTTCTTATATACTGGCATTTAAGGACGCTGCATCAGCCTCATGCAGTGTTCACTAAACATACTCCCTATAGAATTACCGTCTTTATCTTGAATCGACCAACGTTTTCTAAACCAGCCTGTTCTAAGACAGCAATTTTTCCCTATTCATCCTTTTTGATATGAGCTGAAAGTTTTGCTCTCACTCTCGCACAGCTTTTCCATTAACCATCTAGTTGTGCACACTGAAATTATGAACATAAATTTGCTCAGTGGATAAATGGCAATTTTGAAAAAAAAAAAACAAACACTTTTTTTCAATAGAAAGTTTATGGGTTAGGATGACATAGTTTTTCAGCCATTTTGAAATAGATCTATTTCACACCACTTCAAAGGAAACATGTTTTTTTTTTTTCTTATCACATGATAAGAAAAACACCAGTCACACATGACTGGTGAAAACAACAAGACATGTAGCTGGCTCACAGTATTTATACACTTCTTTACTGTTTAAAATTTTTGAAATGTTTTTTTTTTTTTTTTATGTCTGTTAAAAGGACAGCTGCTTTCAGCAGGAACTGTGGCTTATGCACCCATGAATAAGCAGGTCTCTGATTCATTCTATTTTTATAGTATTAGACATCAAAATTTCATCTCTTAATTCATTTCAGTCCTATGATCAAAGGTCACTGGGACATACCCAGAAATTGCAGAGCAGATTAAATGACCGAGCTGGACCGAAAATATTTCATACTCTGACATCAACTCTTAGCAGCAACACTAAGAGAGGAGAAAATTAGATTTGATTACCTTATTGAGTATTTTTAGGACTGTTTTTGTCCTATAATCTTTCCTGGTTTTAAAGTTGGCTGTCTGCACAAAGAGGCAGCAGTTTTCACATGGGAAGAAGTAAAATGTGGATGGTATATTAGTTTAATTTCTGAGGATTTTAAGTTTTAGTGTCTGTTTCACTGAAGCTCTGGTTTCTCCCAGTGGGACACAGCAGACAGGTGCAATATTCTAGTGGCATGTCATTATTTCAGACCGCATGCTGTCAAACATTCTTTCAGATGTGAAGTTGGGATTTTAAAGGAGAATCTATCAAGAAAGTGAAGTTTTTGGCGCATGAAGATGTAAAAAAATTTAAACTTAGAAGCTATTTTAATTTTTTTTGGCTCAAGAATCTTTTATTTAAACAGATACTTTTGAATAAAAAAGTTTCTGCTTTGATTATCCCCCTTTTCTATATTGTTTGTGGAGTACCAATCTGCCTGTTTAGCTGCCCATTCAACCTGATTCTAAACTAATTTAAAGCCTGGGAGGCCACCTGTTGGAAGCAGGGAAGCGGCTCTCAGTCAGTGCTGCAGATTAGCTGCTTTAAGGCTTTCAGCAAACATCAGAAGGAAAAGCACTTATGTCTTGACGGCCAGGTTGCACATATGGTGTCCATCACAAGTAGTCGTTGCCCTCTGGCTGCATGCTCTCAAGCTGGCACTACGTGCAGCATCCTTGCTCACTGACCTTTTAGTGGAGAAACAACAGCCCCCTTCAGTTCTCCTCCCTCTCCTCCTAATTCCTCTTCTTTTCATCCTGTCAGTGTGCATCACCTTTAACATGTTTGAGATTTACATCCTCGAGAAGTTAGTTTTTCTTTGTACTGTTCACTTTAACTTTTCGCCAGGCGTTCACCCTGTCTATTTCCACTTCTGCTTTCTGATAAAGCACTTTTGTTGCTTTTTCTAAATCCTTTGTGAACTTTTTTTTTTACTTGACTTTAGATCTGTGGAATCAATTAGATTTTGTTTGCTTATCTTTTTCATTCGAAGCTCCCTGGGTACTCCATGGGAGGTTTTTATATTCTGCAGATGATAAAATCGATTTTTTACACACTCTGTTTACCTGTCACAGGAAAAACAAAACACTGGTTATTTGTCTCTGTGGAAATTGTTAGGAGTTAAATGTGAAGCTCATGGGATTAGAAATAATAGATTTTTTTTCTATGCACATAAAAAGAGATTGCAGATGTTACAATATTCATGACTCATCTTATTGCTGTTCAGTCAACTGTGTGCTAAATGGCTTTAAAAATAGACAATCTAAAAACAACAAAACGAGGAGAATTGTCAGAACATCCACAATTGGCTCAAGCTTGTGGTGCTAAAAACCCCGATGCATTCATATCACTGCCTGCTGTTTGTTCTAAGATGACATAAATGAACTTAACATGTTTACTTGAGTGTGTCTAAGAGTCGTTTCTGTTAGCTCTATAATGGCTGACGCCTCCCTGCTGGGGCATCGCCTCGCTCCAGGAGTGGGTGTTTATCGAGTCAGGCTGATGGATGGTGATCACCTTTCCTCAGTGAAGCGGTGGCCACATATACCAGCTGGCTCCTCGGGCAGCATTGAGCTACGAATGAGCAGACTTGTTTGCTTTCATCAACATCCATGCAGTGGCAAGGGAACAACTTTGGGAGTGTGTTTAGGGTCGTCCTGTAGGAAGGGGAACTTTCACCCCAGGCTCTAGTCTTTAGTTTGTTTCTATTTCCAGCTATCTTC